AAAGGAAGAAGATGGAATATAATTATTTTATTTTATTTTTTAAAAATATAAATAATAATAATATGAGTTGGCAATGAGTTGTAATAAAAAAAAATTTTAGGTGGACACATTTGTAATTTGCTTTTGCCACCTCATCAAAAAAATTATAAAAAATGTCACATAAGCGAGTTAACGGTCCAAATTAACAGAAGGACTAACGGAGTGCATTTCGTATAGTTGAGGGATCAAAAAAGTGCAAAATTTTGTTAAGGGATCAAAAATGTTCATTTCGTAAAGTTGAGGGACCAAATTTAACATTTAACCTTTAAAAATTGATAAAGTTAACGTCCTTAAATAAAAAAAATGTAAAGTTGAAATCCTTGTTTATATCTTTACTCATTTTTTGGCCGTACAAAAGTTGGACGAATGAAAAACTCAGAGAAAAAGTGTTGAATGCATAGACGAGGGAATAGGAAGGGTCAAGTTAGAGTAATAATTCTTTGACCAAATTTTTAGACAAAATTTAGGGAAAAATTATTTCATTATGGAACTTATGTCATGATAAATAAATAAAAAATATTGTGTAATTTAAATTATACTAATTATTGGTTCCTTAATCTTTATAGCCCTCTCTATATTTAATAATTTTTGTTGTAAAGTTTGATATAGTTTAAATTGTAAAATAAAATTTTTATAAACTAATACTAAAAATTTAGTCCTAAAAGCTGGTTTAGGTATATCATCTTTCGTCTAGTTATTAGTTAATGCCCTTTAGGTCCGATAAGCATAGCCTCGTAGAGTCGTAGCCCCCGTGGCAAGATTATTGAAAGATCGATAGATAGGCCATATCTTGGGCTTTCCTGTCCGATAAAGTTATAGGCTCATAGCCCATAATGAAATGAATAAGAGGGAGCAGGGCAAACAATCGGGCTTTTAAGATATTCTGGGCCAGGTTTGAGGCAATTAGGTCCAATCTGTTCGAAGGTAAAACGTAAAATCCCGACCACAGTTGCAGTCAAGCCCACGTTCTTTTTATTCAAAGTCAAACGCCCTAATCCACCTTTTTTTTTTTTGGCATCACTACCTTATGAAAAATTTTAATACTGATCCTGCAACCATGGGCCTTGGCCATAAATAACATCGATTGAAGGTCAAGATCCAAACATCTCTTCTATTCTGCTAATTAAGGGCATAATGTCTATATTGAGATTAAAGAGTTAGTTATTTATTTATTTATTTGTTTTTATTTTGACCTTCTGAGGACGTCTGTATTGATAGGGATAGTATTATGTAACTAGTCCATGTGCAAGATTTGATCTCAATGATCAAAAAATCAGTCAACACGATCTTACTGCTTTTGAAAATCATATCACGCATGTGATCATGTCTTTACTGTACTGGCATCATCTTTCTTTGTTTCTTTGCTTCTCCTTGCCTGTACCAACCTCGAACCCATGACCTGTGGCTTAACTATTTCGCAAAATACGCCAAGCCAGCAGGCCAATGGAGAGGTTGGTATCATCTTTCTTTGTTGACCTCGACAATTAATGTTTACACGTTTTAATCCTAGTACTCATTTTGATTTAATTAATTCTTCTTCTTTTTTCTTTTTTTTTTTTAATTCCACCAAGCGGTCTGATAGCCACGCGCCTTATTAAAGTCGGTGGACTGTTCACTAGATCTAAAAATCAAATCCTCAGTTACTAACATTTAACAATACTAACCTATTAATCATTTTCCTTATAAAAAAAAAAAAAAAATTCCCTTTTCACATCTTCAACCCTATCTCTAAAGTAGAGCAAAAGTGGAAAGGTAAGTAGCTGTAAGTAATTACATATCACTGATAATTGGCAAACAGAAAAACAAAAGTACACGAATCCAAATCTTTTGGAACTTTAAGGTACACGTCATTTTAGTGGCCTAATTTATACAGAAAAGCTGAGCAAAGAAAGATGAAACATGCTAACGACCAAATAAAATATTATATATATATGTGACCTGAATAGTAAGGGCACTAGACAAATAACTTCAATTATATAAATCAAACCGAGAATCTCTGTTGTTAATTATTGGAGCGCGCGCTCTACGTACAACATTTAATCTATCTCCTCTTCACCTGATTCCTCCGGTGGTTTATTGAGGTCAAATCTCACGATGACAGACGTATATCCACTTTGCAGGCTGGGCGAGAATATCGAATAAGTGGAACTTGCTCTATCATCCAAAGAAATGATCACCTTGTCGCCTTCCTTCAAACCAAGCTTCTTAACAACGTTTTTCCAGCCACTTTCCAGGAGAACGAGGCGATCATGATTTCGTCCGAGCGAGAACGTGACAGCGAGGGGCTCGCGATTTCCACCTTTCAATATCGCATGAGCTTGTCCAGTTTGCCCCCATAAGGTCGCAGGCAAAAGATGACGACGTGTCTGCATTGCAGCTTTTGGAAAGACAAGTTTTTTGAGATATGAGGGGCGGAGAGTGATAGAGGCAACCACGTGCACGGCATCCCCTTCCGCCATTGTAGACTGATTCAAGCTTAACTGATGAGGAATAAAGATGGCTGTGGTTGAGGGACTCCAGGCATGGTATGGAAATATTTATAGAGGGTAAATGATGGATTTGGACGCAAATTGCATTGACTTCAAATTTTGTAGCACCCAAAATTTTCCAAACAAAAAGAGTAGAATTGGTATGTTTTCACACACGTAATGAAAGAATTCAATGCATTATGCCCTTTTTTTTTTTTTTTGGGTACATAAGAAATGCATTATGCCCTCATTTATTTCATTGTTAGAGAACCAATTTAATCTTCTTGGTCCATGATGACTATTAGTAAAGTATGTGTGAACAATTTATTTGATCATATCTATATCCAGTCTAGATATTAATAAATGCACTTTCAAGATTGTATTTTTATTTTTATTTTTATTTTTATTTTCAAACAAAAAAGAGTAAATTTAATTAAAAATTTATAAAGTATAAGGAGTATTCAATCTATTACATGAACAATCTCAAATTACAAGTATAATTATTTTATGTATTTTATTGGATTTAAAACTCAATATGTGAAATTAAATTTAAAATCTTATAACCTAACCTTTATCCAATGATAAAATCTTAACTGAACAAAACTCAATAATCCTTCACTCATCTAGTCTTATTGTTGAATACCATATCCCTTCTAGTAAAGCCACATTGACCAAATTACCGCTGCCCATGCAACATCCCAGCTTCTAGTGTTTTTTTGAAAATAGGTAATGGAATTGTCGTTTCTTGTGTTGGTGAAATTAATGCCTGCTAAAAAGCAGAATGTAACTGACGTTCTGCTTTATCATGCCCACATCATTCAAAATATGACGTTTAAATAGATTTTATTTAGGGAATTTTTTAACCGACTAGATATAAGATATAAATTAAAGATATATTTATTATATATTTTTATTATTAATTTACATAAATAAAATAAAAATGACTTTATTTTTATTAATTCATTCAAAATATGACGTTTAAATAGATTTTATTTA